ACATTCTATGCCCCTACAGTAAGTCTTTTGGCAAAAAAAACAGGCTCTTCCATGCAGGAAAAATGCAACCTTCAAAATCACAGTAAATGATTGATAAATATTTTGTAATTAATATATCAGAATTCCAAATCCAACAATGCTGAAGAATGCTGTCCCATTCATGTGTGTAGGGGGACAGAACACAAGTAAATAGAGGTAGTATAGAAAGTAATGTTACCCCGAAGGAGTTGCAGCTGAGCCAATTATCAAAGATTAGGAACAGGCCTGACTTTAACAGGCCACAGCTGTAACCAATGAGAAGAAGATGCTATAAAAGAGTGGGGTGGTTACTTGAGCAGAAACTGGAGTTAGTTGGCTGCTATGAGAAGAAGGAAGAGTTGGTGCTTAGAGGAGCTGCCTGTGAGAAGCATCAAGGAGGTAGGAAGCTCTGGTAATATAGAGCTTTTCTGATATAATCACAACACCTCTGTAGACTAACACTACAGAAAGTCTCAAAACAGCCTGATAAATTTCATTAGAGAGCTATACTGCAGATGAGCATGTGCCTGCTAAGAACCTGATGCACTGGGGTTTATCTGGGGGTAGGAGGGGAGCTGGTTAGAGTTGGAATGAAAGCAGTCAAACTTAGTTTTAGTGTGGGGAGAGTATTTTAATAACAGCAACAAATAAAGCCATAATAGTCTGACTCTATGCTCATGAAGGAACCTTCAGGAGGTAATAAATTACTAACAAAAAGACTAGAATTGTTTTAACTGTTAGGGCTGGAGTTAAGAAGTGGTTCTCAGAGCATGACCTAAAATTGCAACTTTTGAGCATGAGGAAGGTGCTCCAGGGCAAAGCTACTATGAGCCTTAATAAAAGTGGGCTGAGAAGAGCACATATTTTAAATTATCAGTGTCTGGGAAGGGATGCAGCCAGGCTCCAGCACAATCACAGGGCACTGGTTGCCAAAGAGGGAGAGCTGCCACGCTGCAGCACTGAGGGCACGTCCCCAGGAGTGTGTGGAGCATGGGTAATCAAGCCTTGCTGGATCATTCTGGCTCCTCCAGAGCAACCTGCTGCTCTCAGGAGCTCAGCATGCTGGAAGGCTTCACACAAATGCATTTGAGTGGCCATGGATCAGTAAGAGGAACTTAGGAGTGCTGCCTCAGTACTTTCCCTTCTAGCAGGGGCAGCAGTGGTGCTACCAGTGAGGGTGAGAAGAAGATTGTGGCAGCCTTTGGGAAGGAAGAGAAAGGAAAATGCAGCTGCTGTGCAATAACAGCCCCAAAGGGGCTGGAGAGGAGGAAGTGAGGCAAATGAGGTGCTCAGCATTACACTGGCTCAAGTGATTTCTGCTGTTTATCAGAAAAAGGTGCAGCTCAGAGGAAGGAGTGAGTGTGGGCAGGTAGGCAGGCAGCCGGGGGAGGCTGGGAGCCCAGCAGGGCTGTGAGCACTTGTTTCTCACACAGTTCATTTCCCCCATCTGCCTGGTTCACACTGAGGCCATGCACACACCTGTGCCAGGCCAGAACCAAGGTGCCAGAAGGGCAGGACTGAATGCCTGGGACCTGGAGCAGTGTCCCCAAATAAATCCACAGAAAATCACATGCTCAATGCCAACAATTTGCTGGAGGAAGCATGTCTGAATCTTTAAAAGGAGCACATATCCTTGCATGTGGAGGTTTAATAACTACTTGAACAACCCTCATGAAAATGTTTGGCCTAATCAAGTCCACATTTTTTATTAAAGGAGACCTTCAAAATGTTATGCTGGGTAGATTTTGCCTTAAATTGGCCTGAGCGTTGCCTACACAAAATCCTTTTCTTGCCATATCAAAAGCAAGATGTGGTTTGGGGCTGTTTTTAACAAAACAGTACCCAGGTAGGTAGAAGACAAAAAAAGTTACATTCTAATTATATACTGCATGAAATTATGACACTTTGAAAGCTAGAAAATTATTTTGTTTCATAAACAAAATTACAGCAAAATCATTCAGACTTGATTTTACAGTTGTCATGAACTACTGGATTACTGACTGTAAGAAAAAGAACCATAGTTTAAATAATCAATGTTTTTAAGCTGTGACATTTTTTGCTAAAACATCCTTAATTTTTTAGAGAATTCAGAGTGTTTCTGGTTTTAACAGTGTCTTGTTTCATTGGAAATTTTTTAGTCTTCCATCAAGTGATCCCATAAAGCAGGGCAGAACTAATGGCTTTATTAAGTATATTTACTTCAGGCTAAATGGAAGGGGCAATTACATTCCACTTATGCAGGAAAACAGCTGGAACCTGCTGAAGGTACCTCAGAGTTTAACAGAAAATATTAAAAAGCCTGGTCAGAAGCCTGACAAGTTTGCTGACTCAAAACACAACGTCAGGGAATAGTCTGTCCAGCTGTGTGAGAAAGGGGCACTGGGACCTGGGAGGGAGGTGATAAAAAGCAGCTACAAACAAAAACACACAGCCAAAATATCTGATAGGTCTGCTAGAAGAGATTTAAAGGAAAACAAAAAGAAAAAAAATAGCAGCGTATCTTTAAATATTATTGTTGAAGGCTGGAAAAGCATCTGTAAAGGAAAAGTTAAGGAGTGGGATTCCAAGTTTCACATGTCTATCCTTGGTGACGTTTCGACTTTGTGTAAGCAGGAGAATTGCCAAAGAATTGGAGATGATGGTAAAGAGAAGTCGCAGCACATGTGGAGGAGCATGCTTAAGGGTGCTCGGAAACTGTGAATTGAGAACTAATTAATCAGCAAAAAGAAACTAATGTACATCTGTTAATTATTTAAGCAAAAGCTGACTTATCTTTCCTACTTATTGCTTTTTCTTTTGGTTTTTGTTTGGTTGGGTTTTTTTGCCTCCCTACTCTGGGTCATGCTAAGGACAGCAGTTTTCCTTGTCCACCATGAGCCCATGAATCTTCCTTGCTGTTACAGCATCTGTAGGTCAGCCAGAGCTTTGCAGTGGAACTGCTTAGGGCCATTTTCCTACCACAAGCATCACAAAAAACCACAGAATTTGAAATTCTAAAGCTGTATTTCATCAGAGCCCCAAATGAAACAAGGTGGCTTTAGACAAGGAGGAAATGAGAGTGAGACAGATTATAACCAGAGTATGTTCAGATGTTTCCTCTCCTAATAGATGCTTGCAGAACAAGATGTAGGTCCTTTGATGCAATTTTTGGTGGCCTTCTGGGATCCAATATAACCTATAGTCTCTCCTAAGTCCCAAAACCCAGCTTTTTTTTTTGTCCTTTTTGACAACATGGCCACTCCTAACTCCACTCAAGAGACTCACTGTCCATACATTGAATTCTATCAATTCCTAGCTTGCTGTCTCTCAATTCTCTCCTATCCTCACATCACACAAAGGCAATCTTTCACCTAGGCTTGCCCATGTGCTCTTGGAACAGATGCTACTGCTCTCTCTATCCCACTGGTTCCATCTGGCCTGGAGCAAGAAGAAGGGAAGAAAACACAACAGCAGACCTCATCCCCTCTGTCCAGCTACTGTCCTTTTGAGAATGCTGTGTCAGGAATATTGCAAACAATTAAGACAGCATCCACCACCACCACTTTGGTTCTTCCAGGCATCCTAGAAGTTCTCTGGCAGTAAATACATCACCCTACTGCTTCTGTACAGGGAAGGTGGTGACTGAGGTGATACAGTAAAAAAAATTTGCTCTTGCAGGGGGTTCAGGCAGGAGGGTTAAGCTACTCTTTTCCATGGAAGTACAATATACTGAGCTTATCTGCATGCCTCATAAAGTTCATGTATTTGCTGTAAACTGTCGGTACCAACAGATTAGTAACAAACATGTGTGCCTGACGGGAAAAGGTGGCAACTGAATCCTTGCTCTTGTCCATCTGTTGCTCGCTGTTTGTATAACTCCGTATTACAGCATGCTTGTTTAGGTTTCAGCTGCTTGTCGCACGTACGAGTGTATATATATATGTATGTGTTTGTGTGTATATTTATGCACACGAGGGCTGTGTGATGGTTTAGCTTGCAATGCTGCTCCCTTCGGTTGGGTGCAGGGGTGTGTGAGGGTGTGCCAGCAAACACGGGCTGGCTGTGGGCTCGGAGATCTGGGCCCGCTGCTCTCCCTGGCCCGGGGGGCTGGAGCCGGGCAGGAGCCTCCATGGATCCCCGAATTCCTCACGGATCCCTGAGTCTCTCATGTATCCGTGAACCCCTCATGGATTCCCAAGACCCTCACAGATCCCTGAGCCCCTCATCTATCTGTGAACCCCTCATGGACGGCCGAGCGCCCCGCGGATCCTTGAGACCCTCACGGATCTCCGAGCCCCTCATGGACCCCAAGCTCGCGGGCACACGGGCTGGACGCGCTCGGTCCCGCTCTCTGCAGGGACACCAGAGCACCCGCACAGGCTCCCAGAGTTGCTCGGTTCAGAAGAGACCTCAGGGGATCACCCCACCCAGGCAGGGCCGCCTGGAGCAGGTGGCACAGGAACGCCTCCAGGTGGGCTTGGAATGTCTCCGGAGAGACCCCGTGGCCACCCCGGGCTACTGTTCCAGTGCCCTGCCACCCTCAGTGTAAAGTTCTTGTAGATGCTGAGGTGGAATTCCTTGTGTTTCAGTTTGAACCCGCCGCCCCTCCTCCTGTGCCTGGGCTCCGCTTTAGTCTGGCACTTTCCCTTAGCGATATTTACATGTATTGATGAGATCCCCCTTAGCTTGCTTTTTCCTACAGAGACCTGAAGCTGGACTAAACAGGCGCAGCTCCCGCATGTGCCCTCCTAAGGGATGAGCCCAGCCGCAGCAGGAGCACCACAGCACTCCCCGGAGGACACGGAGGAGCTGGAACCACCATGCTCAGCTCGGCTCCCTGTGTCGTGTGTGGGATTGGCGCGTCCCTGTGCTGCTGCGGACACACCAAGCGACCCCGCGTCTCTCTGTCCCCGGCCCGCCCCTCGCCACCGCCCGCCATCCTGAGCGCCGGCCGCTCGGCGCTCGATTGCGGCGGCTGCTCCCGAGGCGGCGCGGCTCGGCGGTGGATTGGTGGGGTCTGCGCGGCGGGCGCAAGATGGCGGCGGCGCTGGGCCGGGGGCTGGACATCAGCCTGGCGGCGCTGCGGCAGCACGACCCCTACATCAGCGGCATCGTGGACGTGGCCAGCCAGGTGGCGCTCTACACCTTCGGCCACCGCGCCAGCCAGTGGGTACGTGCGCGCGCCCGCCCCGACACGCCCACCGCGCGCGCCGCGGGGGCGGGGCCTCACCTCGGGCACGCCCCGCCCCTTTCCCGGCACGCCCCGCCCCCCGGCGAGGTGTGAGGGTGGGGAGCGGGAGGGGCCCGACGGTGATTGCCGGTGTGTCCCGGCCGTGTGCCCCGTGCGCCACCGACAGCCCGCCTGCGCACGCTGGGGAGCCACGGGGTGCCGGGAATGGAGCTCTGGGAGGCTGCAGGATGGAGGAGTTTGGCCACATGCGGGAGAGGCTGGGGTTTAACCTGGGGCTGTGGCTTAATCTGGGATGGCGTAGTATGGGATTTAGCCTGAGGCCATGGGGGACTGGGGCTTAATTTAAAGCTGAGGAGGCTGGAGTTTAGCCCAAGGCCATGGAAGATTAGGGCTTAACCCAGGCCTCCAGAGCCTGGAATTTAACCCAAGTCAAGCTTTTAACCCAAGGGTTAAAACCCCAAGTTTGAACCCAAGTCTGGTTTTTAACACCAAGATTGGGGTTTAACCCAGGTCTGTTTTTTATCCCAAGGCCATGAAAGACTGGGGTTTAACCCAGGGCTGGTTTTAACTCAAGGCCGTGGAAGGCTGGAGTTTAACCTACGTTGAGTTTGTATCCCAAGGCCATGGAAGACTGGGGTTTAACCCAAGTCTGTTTTTTCTCCCAAGGCTATGGAAGACTGGGGTTTAACACAGGATGAATTTTTATCCCAAGGCCATGGAAGGCTGGGGTTTAGCTCAGGGCTCCAGGCCTCAGCCACTCATCTGTCCTTCCAGCACCTGTAATGGAACCCAAGTGTGTGCGAAAGAGTGGTGGAGTTACCAGTGCTAAAAGCATTGTTAGAAGATGTACAAACATAATTACCTTGGGAAAGCTCTAGGTAATAGAACATTTAGGCTCTTGGCAGGTGGTTCTTGGCTTGCTGTGACAGTGAGACTCAGGGCCTGTGTTTGAAGAACCTGCCCAGTCTGCCTTTTGTGTTGTTTTCCCCCATTTCTGTGCCAAACAGCCCTGGAGGGCAGGTGCCCTTTGCAAACTCCTCTCTCTGCCTCTTGCCTGTGTGTTGTGCTCAGGTGTAGGCTGGCATGAACCCAGCTCCATATCTTACCTCAAACCTGGCTCAGCTGCATGGTGACCTGTGCTAGCTCCAGCCTCTCACCACCAACCCATGAAATTGAGTTTAGTAATTTTTTCCTGGCTTGGGTAAAACAGAGAAAAGGGGGGCTCACTGATGGAGACTAAAACACTGCCCTGTTTTCCTTTTCTTCAGGAGAAGACAGATGTGGAGGGAACGCTGTTTGTTTACACCAGGTGAGCACGTTTTGACGTGTACAGGTGAAATCTGTGGCTGTGGAAAAGCTGGCTGGGATGGAGCATGGCTGAATGAAATAAAATGCTCCCCTTTGTTCAGGGGTGAAATGAAACTGAAACTGCCAGAAGCACATGTGGGAAGGAGAACCCTCTGAAGGAGGCATGACATTGCATTTTGATAAGACTTCCAAATGTGATTTAAATGTCAGTATGGGACATGTTTTATGAAAAATCCTTTCATTAGGATTTTTCCTCCTGAGAAGCTGAGAGGCCTCAGGAACAAAATGTAAACAATGATTGTCTGCTGCTGTGGCATGCAACAGGTGCATCTGGGATTGGTCTCATGTGGTTGTTTTTAATTAATGGCCAATCACAGCCCAGCTGGCTGGATTGTCTCAGTCAGTCCCAAGCCTTTGTTGTCTTTCTTTTTCTATTCTTAGCTAGCTTCCTGATGAAATCTTTTCTTCTATTCTTTTAGTATAGTTTTAATATAGTATATATCATAAAATAATAAATCAGCCTTCTGAAACATGGAGTCAACATTCTCTTCTCTCATCCTAAGACCCCTGCAAATACAACTACATGGGTAAACTGTAGAAATCTTCTGTGGTGGTTTAAATAGCATTTGCAATTTAAAATTGTCTGAACAAAAAAAGAGTGAAATAAATAATTGTATTGCTGAAAGGAAGGACATGGCAGAGCTTGTGAAATGTTGTGTCCCCTACTCAGGGAACTTTCATACTACTTGTGTCTGTTCATTTTACATGCATATTTCATCCAACATTTTGGATGGTTTTCATGCTTTCTTTTAGCAGCAACTCTGCTTGTGGCTTTCAGAACCTCATTTTTTTGCACCATTTGTTGTAGCACGTGTGTTTGTTCTGTTGTGGGGGTTCCATGTTGGTGCCCCAGCATTTCTCTGTGACTGCTGTTAAAATCAGAGTTGCATAGTCAGCAGCTCTTGCAGCAGCTGCTGAGGTGTAACACCAAAGCAGAAAGTTACCTTTTCAGCTTTTGTGTCAAAGAGGATCTGGTAGGAGAGCTGAAAAAGCCAGAGGTGGTTTTGAGCAGTGTGTGAGGTGCCAGAGAGGCCCAAGAGGCTGTGAGCTTTGTGGGAGTGCTGGTTTCAGTCCCTGCAGTGGCAATGGTCAGCACAGCAGCAGTTTTTCTCAGGTCAGTGGGGATCAGGTGCTGTAAATTTGCCACCTCAAGAGGAAGGCAGCAGCCCTTTGTTGTGCTGCCACTGGGTTTCCTGGTGTGTTGCTTTCAAAGCTCAAGAGCTGCCAACATGAAACCTGGTCCTTCTGGTATTGTTGTCTTTCACTGCTGTTTTTGTTGCCTGAGGAAGTTTCCATTTAGGGCACAGGTTGCACTTTAGGCAGCAGTATGGAGCAGGTTGTAAACTGTGAGTAACAGCATGCATTGTCCTCATCAACAGTTTTAACTTTCATTTTCTGTGACTTCAAACAAATTAATGAAGTCCTGTGGAAATCACATTTCCAGCAGACAGTTTGGAGACCGCTGGTGCTGTGTTTGTTTCTCCTCATTACCTTAGTCACAATGTAAAATTATGTTACTATTTTACTTGGCCTGACTCACTCCCTGCCCAGCTCATCTTTGTGAATTCCAGGAACAGTCAAGAAACCAGACTTCGAACTGGATGAACACCAGTGGAAGTGGACTCTTTGTTTGTTTGAAGGGAAATATTGACCCTTGCAAACAAGGATTATTTGTTTGGTTGACTCCAATCCTGTAAGACAGGTTCCTGTAGTTTGGTTTCACAGAGAAATCCACACAGCAGCAATTAAGCAGAGGTGACACCTTTCCCAAATGTTTAGCCATCATCTTTTCCTTTATTGCCAAACTTAGTTTGGAAGGAGTGCCTCCTGTCAGGATCATGACAGGTTCAACAGTTTTATCTAAGTGACTTGAAGTGTAATCTTGTTGCCATGATATTTTATGAGAAAATCCTTTCCTTAGGATTTTTTCTCCTGGGAAACTGAGAGGCCTCAGGAACAAAGTGTAAACCATGATTATCTGCTGCTATGGAATGCAACAGGTGCATCTGTGATTGTCCATGTTGGTTGTTTCTAATTAATGGCCAATCACAGCTGGCTCAGACTCTGTCCCAGACACAAGCTTTTGTTATCATTCTTTTTTTATTCTTAGTTAACCTTCTGATTAAATCCTTTCTTCTATTCTTTTAGTATAGTTTTAATATAATATATATCATAAAAAAGTAAATCAAGCCTTCTGAAACATGGAGTTAGATCCTCGTCTCTTCCCTCATCCTTGGACCCCTGTGAATGTAATCTCCATGAATGAGCATAGTGACTTAAAACCACAGCATGGTTTGGGTTCAAAATTTATCAGGGATTATTCAGGGATGGGAGAGGATTCACAGCTGCTCTGAGGCACCCTGTTTCAGTTTCTCACATGGTGGCTTTTATCCTTAGGTTTTAGGTAGTATAGAAAATTCTCTCTTTGACTGTTAGTATCTGCAGCTGTCCACCTGGGTGCTGAGGGCTTGCCTTGTTCTGACTTGGTTTAATTGCTGCTTTCTGTAGGGTAGATGGTGGCATTGAGTCACATGATACTGATGGTCTGTTTATTTCTCATACCTAATGTAGGCCTTGGCCATAATTAAAAGGATTACCAAAACTGCAAGAGTCAATTGTTATTTCCTTGGCAACAAAATTAGGTTTTTGTAGCATCTCTTATAAGTAAATAAATAAGGAGTTTGGAGCACTACACAACAAAGAAAATAAATAAATAATGAATTGGAGAATTACTCAACAAAGAAATTCTTGTGATTTCCTTTTCCCTCGACTTGATGGGATTTCTACTTGTTCCCTTTCAGATCAGCTTCTCCAAGGCATGGTTTCACAATAATGAACAGACTGAGCATGGAAAACCGAACAGAACCCATTACTAAAGACCTCGATTTCCAGCTGCAGGACCCTTTTCTGCTCTACAGAAATGCCAGGTGTAAGTATGTGACACTTGGGGTTAAATACTGAAGTCAGGTTCTCTTCAGTCTGTTCCTGGCTAAGGTAGTCCAAGTGCTTAGACTGCAGCATTCAAGGGGTGAAATTGAAGGAATGAATTTTGCTTTTTTGATGTTCTGAAAGAGAAGAATTGCTCAGTGTTCCCTACAGAAAGTATTAGGATGTGCTTAGGAGTAATCTTCTCATTTAGCTGGCAAATTGTGGATGTTTGTGGTTGCCTGTGTGTGTGTTTTCTGAATACACCCCAGTCACTGCTGAAAAGTCTCAGTGTAGTATTTGTAGTCTTGATTTTCTGCATAAAAATGGACAAATGCAGCCAATCCAGGCCCTGTGTTCTGCTCCTGAACCCTGCTCTTAGAGCACCTTGGAAGGCAGGTTGTGCTCAGCTATTGGGGTAACTCCTGACAACATAACGCTGAGTCTAATTTAAACCCTGCTGAAAGACCAAGTCATTACTTTGGGCTTCCTGTTGATATTGCATGATGATCTTTGCACAGGAATTAGCAAGTGTCAGGCAAGCTCAGCAATGAGTGGAAAACCTGAGGAATTTGATTTGTGCATGCAGATCTGCACACAGACTGTTACAATGTGTTGGAAATTCAGTTTGGAAGCAGAGCTGTAGTACCTGATCTGGCCTTTGTCCTTTATGCACAAAAGCAGATTTCTGAAATGGTTTGTGTGAACTGTGATGCTCAGGTCTTCCCTCTGGGTGAAGTCAAGGCAAAAGCAATCTGTGCCTTGCAAAGTAGCCCAATTTGATAATCTGCTAGACCTTCTTTTTTCATAAACTAATTTGGAGCTGGGAAACAGATCAAGAGGGAATGCTGTTGTTCACACACACTATGTGGTAGAAGCAATTGAGGATGAACATTCTAAATAGCCTGAATGAAACTGCTCTTTTTGAGACTATTTTCTAAGCTGACAAAGAATTGGAATTCAGAAGCAAACTGAAAATACTTGCAGACATCTCCAGGCTAACCTAGACTCGGTCAGACATTAGGATTTTAAGTACTATTCTATCTGATTTTGAAGGCTTTTTCTTATGTAGCTGTAGTCTTGTTTATTCCTGTTTTGAAACTTCATTAGAAGTTTCTGCATTTATATACCAATATCCCTTTTGAAACCTGATCCATTAATTTCTCTTTTTTGTTGATACAAGTGGTATAATGAGTAATTAGAAGTTGTCATAATTCTCTGGTGACAGAAAATAAGTTTTTAGTTTGATTACTGCACATGAATTGTAATTTTCTTTTTACTAAGAGAAAAATCAAGGAGTGGGGGATGTAAGCTCTTTTTTCACTAAGAGATGTGAAAATTTTAGTTTTGCAGGGTCTCAAATATAAGTAGCTGTGCTTCTGAGCAGGATGTCTGGGTCTGTGTCTGATTTTTACCAGGGTTAGCTGTTTGATCTAACCATGGATAAATCTGTACCTCTTCATTGAACTGTGAGTTTGGTTGTCTGACAGCAGATTCATGGTTGGGTTTACTAAAAAAACCCTGTAAATCTTGTCAGTATCAGGTGAGTTCTGGTATAAGGTTATGTTACCCCTTCTCTTCCTAAAGTATTCTTACAAAGGCTTAATTACTATTTCTTCAAGAAAACTGAAGGTTTTGATACTTCAAAGCAAAAGCTGCTGTTTTCTCAGATTTTCATGAAGACATCTGTTTCCAGAGCAAACTGGGGGACAATTTTTAGCGACTCTTTTGAGTTGTCCAGGTTTTCTTTAGCTCCCTGCAGTTCCTGTGGTGGTTTCTTCATTGAGTTGCACATACCTCTTGCCCTTTCTTCCTTATTTTGTATTTCAAAGCCTTTGCAACATGAAATAAAGGGATCTCCTCCACAATAAGTGTGGGTTTTCACAAGGGTCTCATCCAAACACAGTTCTGAGTTTCCTCTTCCATTTTCTAAATGAATATTTTCTTGCTCTTGTACAATTTGCCTTTATGGTTTTTTGCAAAACTAAGGCTTGAGGTTTATTGTTAAATGAACTTTAGAAAACTGGGATGTTTAGGCCCTTATGCTGTAGGATTATTTTTGTCTCCTGCTTTCACATACTAACAAGGAGTACTCAGGGATAGCTGTTTACTCTGCAGAACACTGAACAGTTGGGCAGCAATACTTAACAGTATCTGGAAACAAATTATCTTTTTCTAACGTGTTGTTTAACTTAGTGACTTCTCAGGCTGCTTTTCATACAGCTCTCCTTATCAAATCTAACAAAACTAACAATTCCCTCTGCATTTTTAATTGCTTGCCTTGCCCATTGTTTTGTTTCTTCCAATATTCAAAATTCATTTTGTACAGCTGAGTATCTGTGGCTGGTTGTATCTCACAGTCTAAAATCCTTTTTGGCAGCAAAAGGTGGTGCTTGTGTAGTGGACAAGCCCAACAACATTTTCTGATGTAACAGCTATCCTATTGTAAAGCTTGCTTTGTATCCAATATATGATCAATGGAAAAGAAATTTCCAAAATTGTACACAATAAATGTAAGTTTTAGAAATGCTTAAGATAAAAAAGGTATATTTAATCCTTTTATTTTCTTTTTGCATATTTCTTTTATTGTTTTATGTGATCCTGGTCATCTTAAGTTGAATTATTGTCTGAACACCATGTTGGAGGCACAGTCTAATTCCAGGACTTTTCAGGCTGGATTTGGGATGCATGCCAGTTAATGTTTGCTCTGATCCACTATTTCACAGCAAAGGGTTTTTTTTGGGAAATCTGTCAGGGTAGAGCTGGGGTTATTCATTTCAGAGCCAGGAGGGAAGCTCGAATTACAGTTTTTAATGCCAGCAGAAATCTTTGTCCACCAAGGAACAGAAGGTTTATGGCTCAAACAGGCAATTTTCAATGTGATCTTTAAACTTCTCTAGTTAACTGCAATTTTAGATGCTTGCTTTCTGAGAACAAGACAGTAGTTCTGGTTTTATTTAAATGATCTATCAATTTTTAAGTTTTCATGAGTTATGTTTGACTAATCTTAACTACATAATTATTACTTTATTTTCATTCATTTTCCTGATAGTTATTGGGAAAACCAATAGTCACAGCCTGCTGCTTAAGCCTTGATGCTGATTGATATGAGATGGTTCAGAAGAAATATATAGCAGTAAATTATTGATTAAATTACCTTAATTTTCTCCTTTTAGCAGCTGTGTAATAATTACAGCTATTCCCCACTCTCCACTGTACCAGGTGTTTTTGTCTGTGTGCTGGGTCAGGGATTTATTTCTTGATTCCACTCATTTACCTTTTCATCACTGAATTCTGCTTTTGATGCTTGTAGGAAACAGGGAGTTTGGGGAATATGAAGTTGCTTATCTCAGAACTGGCTTCACCTTGAGCATTTTAGCTGCCAAGAACACAAGATCCTACCTTAAAATAGTATGCTAATTGTGACAGTGATCTGATACAGGTTAATTGGGTGCTTTTCTGCTATATTGAGTGGAGAAAGAAATTGTGTGGCATGTCAGGCAATATTTCTCTCTGACAGTTTCTGCACCTATTTGGACACAGAAGTTACTTTTCCCTTCTGTGCCACACTGTTGCTCCTGTCATCTCCTCAGCCTGAAATGGAATAAAGCCTTCCTAGTGGAAGGTGTCTGCTGAATTTGGGCTCTTGGTGGTACCAAAGCAGAACAGACATGCCTGGATTTGGCACGGCTGTCCAGCCACACGTGGGCTGTGCATAACCTTACACTTGTTGCAGTTTTTCACTTTAACCTGCTGCCATGTCTATCAGAACCCTGAACATTTTGTATTATTTTCCCAGGTTTTTACACTGCAGAGACATCTGGTAAATGGGATGGGAGGGAGAGGGAAGTTTGCCAGCTGTCTAAGGGAATTTTGTGGGTTTTATCTGTGGTCTGTGGGTTGCTGTTTGTTTTTTTTTCTTCCCCCATAGTTCATAATTATGTATGAAAATTTTACCAAATATATGCTTGGGGGCAAGTGCTTGTAAAACCTTTAGGAAAAGGTAACAGTGTGTATTTTCCTCAAACTATTATTGTTCATTCCTAGATTGTTACAGCATCCATGATGCTCTCAAATAGAGCAACTCATCTTATTTTGAGACTGATGGTGGCACATTTTAGTTCACCCTTCTAAGGAAATACATCCTAATAAAAATACAAATGGATTATAAATGTCCCACCTCTGCAGTGACCCTGCAAGTAGCATTTCTCTTGTAAAAACCATCTTAGCTTGAAGACTTTACAAATCTACTTCTGAAGAGAAAAGGTAGGAAGCAACAAGAAAATAATCAGAGTAATATGTAAAAAAGAATATATGATGAAAAACAATCCTCTTTTGGCTACCATAGTGGTTTTTTTCCCCTTGAAATGTGTTCATAATCCACACTATATTATTGTGTAATTGTGTATATTAAACCTCTTTTTCTTCTGAGTTTTTGTTTTGAGTAAGAAACCAGAATTTGGTGACTAAATTTCCTTGTGTATGTATTTAGACTTGGCCTTCTGCATATTGACCACTGAACTGCTCCTTGCTCAATTGAGACAGGCAAAATAGATATTCCAGCCTTTGTCTTTATGATGTAAACTTTGTTTGATGGTTTTGGTTTGGGTAAAAATACCAGTTCAGAAAGCAGAACCTCCTTTATCAGCCTCTGCCAACATTCAATATCAGACCCAGTATCAAACCCCAAAAGGATGAATGCAGAAAATAGAAATGTATATTCAATTGATTATTCCCCAAATGCTCCTTCATATTTCAGAATTTTGAAACAAATACCAGTTAAACACATTTACAAAGTCCAGTTTGTATTATTATCTCTAAATGTCTCCAAATCAGTGGTCTGCTGATTCAGAAACATTACATGGCTTTCTGTTGCTGCATCATTACACAAAGTGCAATGTTGTTGTCACAACTGAATAAGTTAAAACCATTTTTTGTGCTTATTTGCAGAACTATTGTTCTGGCCTGCTACAACCTGCATGTTTTGTTTAGGAAAATATTTCT